TGGTCGGGGGCACTGGGGGAGTGTTGTGATTCTTAGGTGTGTTTTGATCTACCAGGGAATACAAAGCCAGGCTGCAGCTGCCTCTAAAGCAGAAGGCTGAGAGGCAGTCTGTGGGAAATATGAGCCGACGAGGAGACTTCACAGACTATAGATTCTGAGAGACAGGAGGCCCAGCAAGGGTCTGGCAGTGGCTCAGTTCTTTCTTGCAGTGAAAGCAGTTTCTCCACTGTTCAAATTTGTGCCCTGTTTTCTAAGAAAACCTTTTCTTTCCTCAACTCTCTAAAGGGTCTGAGTGCTATGCTTATTGCTTAAGTAGTGCTTCCTTGGGTTGCACTTAGAGCCTTGTATCAAGATGAGTCTGTAAAACATGCTCTAAACCCTAAGTGTACAAACACAACTATGACATGTTTAATGCTTTTACAGCTTTTAGTGAAATACATGACTGGCTTGGGGATTAAGTCCTATCCTATGTGGACATTGGGGATCTTATAAAATAAGATGCAGGGAATATTTATCAATAAATTATAGGACAGAAATCATGTATATCAAAATCATAAAAAACTTTATAACTGTTTATAGCACAAATAAATAAACATTTCCAGGGTTTGGATTTAGTTGATTTTAGTTAAGGTACTGTATCACTGTATTACCCAGGCTGTTCTTGAACTTGCAAGGCTTTATTTTCTTGAGTGCTGGCATTACAGGCCTACACCACCCCATCTGGCCTGGAGTTCATTTTTCATTTTTCTTTTTGTATTTTTGAGATGGTCTCACAGCTTAGGCTGGCCTTAGACTTCTGATCCTCTTGCTTCTGCCTCTCAAGTGTTGCACTTACAGGGCTGAGTCATCATTATTTTAATTTTATTTTTTCAAGACAGGGCTTCTCTGTGTAGCTATGGCTGTTTTGGAAAAAGTTCTGTAGACCAGGCTGGCCTTGAACTCAGAGATCCACCTGTCTCTGCTTCCAGAGTACTGGGATTAAAGGTGTATGCTACCACCACCCAGCCCAATTTTTAATTTTTGAAGAGAATAATTTTAAAATACATTCCCTGTGGCACTGGCTTGTTATAGCAATGATTTACTTAAAGGTGAGTGCTGGACCAGCAAGATGGTGCAACAGGTAAAGATGCTTATGCTAAGCTTGATCACATGAGTTTGCTTCCCAGGTTCCAAAGGCAGAAGGGACAAATTGACTCCTAGAAGCTGCCCTCTGCTCACGTACACACTGTGGAATACACATGAGCACACTGCACATCACAATACAATAAATAAATAAATAAATATAATAATTCTTCCTCAGGAGCAAACTCTAAAATATAATCTTGGAAAAGTAGAATCCATTTCATTATTATACTACATATAACACTATTTTGTTATTTTTTTTCTGGGGTGATACACAGAAACCCCTATCTCTCCCAGAGGAGGCAAGGACAAAACAAAGAAAGAAACAATTCGGGACTGGAGAGATGGCTCAGAGGTTAAGGGCATTGGCTGCTCTTTCAGAGGACCTGGGTTCAATTCCCAGCAACCACATGTCAGCTCACAACTGTCTGTATCTCTAGTTCCAGTGGATCTGACACCCTCATACAGATATACATGCAGGAAAAACATCAATGCACATAAAGTAAACAAAAATTAATCGTTTTTTAAAAAAGAAAGAAACAATTCAGGGCTGGAAATATGGCTCAGTGGTTAAGAGCTCTATTCTAGAGGTCTTGAGTGAGTTCAATTTCCAGCAACCACATGGTGGCTCACAACCATCTCTAGTGGACTCTGATGCCCCCTTCTGGCATAAAGACATACATGCAGATAGAGCCCTCATACATACAATAAATAAATAAATTTTAAAAAGAAAGAATTCTTTCATGTCTCCTTTGGTAACTAATGATATAACAGGTGTCTGAGGGTGGGGTGGGTGTGTATGCATGGTACATACTAGGTATGCGTTATGCCACTGAATCATGTGGCAGTTGATGCCTGTAATTCCAGCACTTGGCAGACTGAGTAGGAGGACTTCATGTTTTGGGTCAGCCTGAGCTACTTGGTGAATTTCAGGCCAGCCTATGGAGTAAGGGTCTGCCTCAAACAAAAACAGCAACAACACAAAATAACAATAAAAACTCTAAGCAACCAAGCAGCAACTACCACTCACAGTCCGCTAGCAGTGGCCTATAATCTCAGATACCCAGGAAGCTGAGGAAGAAAGAGCTCAAATTCAACGCTGGACTGAGCAACATAGTGAGACTTTATCTATTTCGAAACTTAAAAACTAAACTGGGCGGTGGGGGCACTTGCCTTGAATCCCAGTACTCAGAAGACAGAGGCAGGCGGATCTCTGTGAGTTCAAGGCCAACCTGGTCTATAAGAGCTAGTTCCAGGACAGCTAGAGCTACACAGAGAAGCCCTGTCTCAAAAAATCAAAAGAACAACAACAACAACAACAAAAATCAACCTAAAAATTAAGATAAGAGGAATGAGAATGAAGCTCAATGGTGCAGTGCTTGCCCAGTGTGCACAATGCCTTGGGTTCCATTCCCAGTACCACCACAGTTACATAAAAAAAAAAAAATCCAAAAACCCAAAGCCTCAAACAAAACAAAAATGCTAACGACTGGGTACTGGCAATACATGGTACCAGCTCTAGCAAGAGAATGAATGCATGATTAAAAAGTTATTATTTCTAGTAATATGAATTTTTGAATAAGTATAAGGAGTAGTTTTTAAATTATTATTTTCTTATGTGTATGGGTGTTCTTCCTTCATACACACCTGGTGCTAATGGAGGCAATAGGGCTTTGGAGCCCCCGGGAAAGGAGTTATAGATGGTTATGAGCTGCTCCATGGGTCCTAGGAAGTAAACCCAGGTCCTCTGGAAGAGCAGCCAGTACTTTTAACTGGGGAAACATCGCTCTAATCCCCTTAGTAAATTTTCAAATAAAAAGCGCAATAAACTAATAAATTCGTCCACTTATTACTAATTTTGTTTTGTTTTTTGAGATAGTGTTTCTCTGTGTAACCTTGGCTGCTCTGGAACGTGTTCTATAAATCAGGCTGACCTGGAACTCAGGGGTCAACCTGATCAACATAAGGAGTTCCAGGTCAGCCTGGGACATACAATGAAGTCCTGACTCAAAAAAAAAAAAAAAAAAAAAAAAAAAAAAAAAAAAAAAAAAAGAAAAAAGAAAAGAAAATCACACAAGCAAAATAAATTTTTTCTCTTTTTATTTAAAAATTTATTCTTCCCGCTTATATTACACCCCGGCCACCATTCCCCCCTCCCTCCTCTCCTCCCAGCCCACCCTCTCCCCCAGATCCACTCTTCCACATTTCCTTTTACAAAATAGCAAGCCTCCCAGGGATATCAACCAAACATGGCATAACGCATTACAAAATGACTAGGCACAAACCCTCATATCAAGGCTAGACTAGGCAACGCAGTAGGAGGTAAAGGGTTCCAAAAGTCGGCAAAAATAGAGTTATAGACAGCCCCCGCTCCCGTTATTAAGAGACCCACAGGAACACCAAGCTACACAGTCATAATATATAAGCAGAGGACCTAGGTCAGACTTATACGGCTCCCTGATTGTCACTTCATTTACTGTGAGCCCCTATGAGTCCTGGTGAGTTGACTCTGTGGGCTGTGTTCTTGTAGTGTCTTAATCCCTCTGGCTTCTAAAATCCTTCCTCCCCCTCTTCTGCAGGATTCCCTAAGCTCTGCCTATAATGTTTGGCTGTGGGTCTCTGTGTCTGTTTCCATTAGTTGCTGGTTGAAGCCTCTCTGTTGATGATTATGTTAGGCTCCTATCTATGTGTATAGCAGAGTATTATTAGGAATCAGAAAAATAGGTTTTCCTTCCTTCCTTTCTTCCTTCTTTCCTTCCTTCCTTCCTTCCTTCCTTCCTTCCTTCCTCCTTCCTTCCTTTTTTCTTTTTTTCAATTCGCTCTGTAGACCAGGCTGGCCTTGAACTCACAGAGATCCACCTGCCTCTGCCTCCTGAGTGCTGAGATTAAAGGCATGCGCCACAAAATGGATTTATCTCTTCATTTAGATTATGACTATTATTACTGGTTCAGTGGTCTTTTTATTCTTTAAGGAAATTACCCATTTTAAAATTTCTGTTTTGTTTTCTTTTTGAGATGGGGTCTCAAGTTTCCTCCTGCCATTCAAGTGCTGTGAATATGGGCATGTGTTAACCATGTCTGACAGGAAAGTGTACTTTTTTGATTGTTTTTATTTTTTATTTATTTATTTTTGTTTTTTGAAACAAGGTTTCTCTATGAAACAGTCCTGGCTGTCCTGGAACTCGCTTTGTAGATCAGGCTGGCATTGAACTCACAGAGATTCAATTCCAGCTGCTTCCCAAGTGCTGGGTGTGTGCACCACCGCCCAGCTGTTTTTGTTTTTGAGACAGGGTTTCTCCGGGACCCTGGCTATCCCTAAACCTAAACTAGTACTGTAGATGAGGCTGGCCTTGAACTCAGAGACCCACCTACCTCTGCCTCCCAAGTGCTGGGATTAAAGGCTAAGGCACCATTCCCTGCTACATTCTATTTATAGTTCAGTTTCTAAGTATCAGAGTGAAGCAGGGGACAGCAACCTGGTGACTTATTTGATAATTCTATGAGAGCATTTCACTCACTAATGACTAGTGCTGCCAGATTTAAAAAAAAAAGAGGTTGTTTAACTAAATTCAGATAAGTAGTTCTTAGCAAAGTCATGTTCAAAATGTAGATGAGATATACTCGCAGTAAAAGATGTTCACTTAACTTGAAATTCAAATTTAATTGAGTGTCCTGTAATTTGAGGGTCACCTAGGTTCGTGCTGCTTGGTAAGCACCAATTCTCTAGGTTGCCTCAGACAGAAAACAAAAATCATTGTCATTACAAACTATTTGGTACAGTAATGGGTAGCAATCAAATGACCAAAGAATCTTGACCCTTTGAGGAACCCGTAACTGACGCAACTGCTATAAATGCTGCTTTGATTGATTCCCGCCCTCCTCCATTCTTTTCTTCCAGCAACCAGAAAGAAATGCTTGAGCACTTCTAAAGTCCCGCCCTTTCGGCTACCCCCAATGGAGAGTAAGCTGTTACTCAAAAGGAGGCAACAAAAGCGTCAACGTGGAGTTGAGAGGAGCGGAAGTAGTCAGATTTCGCTGAGGGCCGTAAAGCGGATAGTATTTTCGCCTTCCGGATAACGACAGCAGCTCCTACTGTCAGTGCCGGCCTTCCTCGTGCCGGACCCTTCCTAATTCAATTTCCTTCCCATTCCGGGCCCTTCCCTATCGTCGCCCCCTTCACCTTGGATCATGTTCAAGAAGTAAGGACACGCTGTGGCCTCCGTCGGCTGCTCACAAAGGCGGTGGGGGTGGGGGTGGGGAAGAGGGCGAGAGCAAAGGTCCTCTTTCTCTCCTCCGCCCCTGCCATTCTGACTCCCTAAGATTTTTTTAATATGTATATATATAGTACTATGCTCTCAGTTAGGACTTGGAACACTTCTTTAAGCTTTCCATCTCTAGTCCTCAATCGGGGTTTGGCTCTCCCGCTCCCATTTTCTTTCTCCTTAACCCTGTTCTGCCCCCTCCGGCAGTGCTATCTTCATTCCTAGGTTTCTACCAATCACATCCTTGCATTGTGATTTAGGGGCACATCCTCCTTAGTTGAGAGGAGAGCCCTGCACTCGCTGCCATATGTTTATTAGTTATGAGCTGAAAAAGGGAAGGCTTGACTTCCTGGGTCATGGCAGCGAAGGAGTCTGGGTGACAGGAAGCAGGCAGTTTGTCAAGCCTATTGCTTAGCTGCCAGATTAACCTTGTCTTGAAAACAACGAGATAGTCCTGTGTGCTAGTCAGTGTAGGAAGACAAAAATTCCTTGGAAACCTACCCAGTGGGTTTATCTTCCAGGTTTGATAGACGCGAAAGGCAAAGGGGAAACATGGGAAAAGGAAGGTGGGTTTCGTGCATGAAAATTTGAGCAGATCTTACAGATCTTAAAATTATCACCAACATTCTTAAAAAAAAAAAAAAGTCCCAGCAGACTCCATAACCTGCCGGGGCTCGTTCTTTTGTTATGCTTGGGTGGTCTTTTGTATTTTAACGTGTGAGGTTTTGTTTAGATTTAAAAAAAACCCACAGGTTTTTATTATGGATGGAAATCTATTTTTTTCTTTGAGCAAGAATTTTTAGTAAAAGGCATTTATGTAGCTGATAATGGATTCTAGCATAACAATTGTTCTGCCCTCATTAATTGCAACAGGCATGGCAGTTTATTCTAATAGTTTTAAACGTTGGTTTTATATTGTATAAGACAAATGGAAATTGTGGTATTTTAAAAGCAATTTACTTCATGATTATTTTAAGCATGACTACTTGCTTGGGAATAGATGATGAATTAGAACCTTACTTTTAGATTTTCTGATTCTTCTGCTTAGCAATGCCCTCTTTTTTTTTCCTTGAAAAAAAAATCATTTGCCAGATTTGATGAAAAAGAAAATGTGTCCAACTGCATCCAGTTGAAAACCTCGGTTATTAAGGGTATTAAAAATCAATTGATAGAGCAATTTCCAGGTATCGAACCATGGCTTAATCAAATCATGCCTAAGAAAGATCCTGTGAAAATTGTCCGATGGTAAGTCCTTGTTTTTCTCCATATAAAGATTAGAGTAGCTGACTATCAGAGGTTAGACTGTTCTCATTCTAAATGGAATTATTTCCACATTAGCTATTGATAGACTAATAACGAGAATAGACAGAATTAACTCTAAACTTGTTAGCTATCCATAGACTAATGATGAGAATGGACAGAATTAACTCTAAACTTGTCAATATTTCTATTTTCAAATCTTATCTACATATTAAAAATGTGTATTCTTTTATCAAAGACTTGTTTTTATAATTGAATTTATTTCAGTTTGCTCTTGAGAGATGTATTTTATTACTTGACAATGCAATTACAATAATAAACTGTGGAATGAAATTGGATATAGCAGGTCATATTTCCTCTCTGTCCTCTATTGTTTTCTCTACTGGATAGGTATTTTTAGGTCAGGATCTTCACTGGATTAATAAGCTTAATGTGTTTTTCTATGTGGCTATTTCATGTTATAATTTTATAGGATGATTGACTTATATTCATTTTGGAAAGAAAATATCTAACTTGGTACTTTATGACATTTCTCTTACAGCCATGAACACATAGAAATCCTTACGGTAAATGGAGAATTACTGTTTTTTAGACAAAGAGAAGGGCCTTTTTATCCAACCCTAAGATTACTTCATAAATGTAAGTCTTGTTAGAAATATGCATTTGGGAATATAAAAATACACAAAAGGAGTCAAAAACTATAGGAGTGGAAAATTACTTCTGATAGTTTGTTATTTATTTGTGCTAAGTAATGAGGAATATAAAAATAAAGTGGATCCTCATCTTGTGGTAAGTCTGAAAAATGCAAACTCTCTTATGTATTAGAGAAAGCCCTCCCCCTACAAAAGCATTCATTAGTTCATCCATTCAATAAAAGCCCAGTGTGGTGGCTCACAGAGGTAATCACAGAGCTTGGGAAGTTGAGACAAGAGAATGACACAATTTTGAGGAGAGTCTGGACTATCAGGTGATACCCTCCTCCAAAACAAAGACCCCAGAAATATTAATTCAATAATTATTTAGTGAACTTCCTATATATTGGCACTAGGGGCTAGTGCAATTGTAAGCAAAGACAGACATAGTCCCTTGTCCTTATTGTACTTAGAAGACTAAGTATGTAATTGTAAACATATATATTCATAAGCTGATAAGGGCTTTGAAGATTTTCATTTTAGTTTATTACTAGAGTTCCCTAATAGAGATAATTCTGTATATGGAAAAGCATTAGATAAATGTGGAAGTCCCATTTATTACTAATTGAGTACATGAACAGATGTCATGAAATCAAATAATGTTTATTTCATGCATACATTTACAAATTGTTAAACTGACTATATTACAAAAAATGGAGGAAGATATAATTCTAATGAGCAAGAACTTTCCAAGTGGGAACTAAATTTTTGCTTTTTAATTTGGTATTGTTGTCAAGAGGCAAAAGGAAAGATAGTGATTTATAGGCACTATTGTGATGGGTAGTGGTGATTGAATTTATCTCCTTGTAAAAAACCAAATTCATCAAATCACAAGGAGATACAGTTTTAATTGCCTGGCCTTACAGAGGTCAGGAGTAGCAAAACTGTTGGGCAAATCTTAAAGCAGGTGAAATATTAGTATATACTAGTTTATAAAACTAATTATAGTTATTCAAATAAGCTATTTTTAGGTTAAGATCTGATAGAAATTAAATTTGGATGCAGTGGGAATAAGTTGTTGTTGTTATTGTTCTTTGTGACAAACACTAGGTAACCAAGGCTGCTTTTGTATTTCTAATTCTTCTACCTCTACCTCCTTGATGCTGGGATTATAAAGCTGTGCCACCATATTTGGCTACTGTCATTATTTCTAGGGAGCTTAGAGAAACTTAAAAACTAGAGGGACTGGAGAGATGATTTAGCAGTTACTGGCTACTCTTCCAGAGGTCCTGAGTTCAATTCCCAGCACCCATATGATGGCTCACAACTGTCTCTTACTGTAGTCCCATGGAATCTAATGCCCTCTTCTGGTGTGCATGCATGTAGACAAAACACCCATAGTCCTAAATTAATTTAAAGGAAAAAAAAAGCCACTAAAACCTCCATTCCTCGAGTCATGATGTGAAAGCCTCTAGAGATTCTTTAATTGGTGGTTTGTAATTTATTGGTATATATACACACAGATACTTTTGTTTAAGATTACAAAAAATATATGTACATAAATGTGGGAAATCACAGGAATAGGAAACTAATAAGCAAGTGTATTCCTATAATCCAGAGTAAACTATATTTAGTTCATTGGTTTATTCTCATCCACTTTATTTCCTATGTTGTATACAAACACTTTCAGTTTTGTTTTATTTTGTGCTAGAAATTGAACCCAGGACCTCGTGCATGCTAGGTAGGCTTTATAGTGCCGAGCACAATCTTTTCTGTTCTTTTAAAATTGAGCTCTCTGCTACTTAGTTTTCTCTATTAAGATTTTGCATTGGTAAATCATATGCACTTGCAGTTGGTGAATCATTATTGATAGGATTATTAGTTATAAGAGTTTTTTTCTTTTTATCTTTTTTTTTTTCCCGAGACAGGGTTTCTCTGTAGCTTTGGAGCCTGTCCTGGAACTAGCTCTTATAGACGAGGCTGGCCTCGAACTCACAGAGATCCACCTGCCTCTGCCTCCCCAGTCCTAGGATTAAAGGCGCGTGCCACCACCACACAGCTAGAGTTCTTTTCATACAATTCTATCACTCTTCCTCTTTCTAGTAACCACTGATTTTTTTTATTTGATTGAGACAGGGTTTCTCTGTGTGTAGCCTTGGCTGTCCTGGACTCACTTTGTAGACCAGGCTGGCCTCGAACTGAAAGAGATATACCTCTGCCTCCTGAGTGCTGGGATTAAAGGTGTGGGCCACCATTGTTTAGCCAGTGATCCATTTTGACAGTATTTTATTTCTGCTTTTTTTCATTTACATGTTGTATTGTGAACAGTTTCTAGGCATTAGATATTTTCTAAAAGCATGGTTTATTGTAGACTTATACTTTTTTTTTTTGTTCTTGTTTGGTTTTCGAGATAGGGTTTCTCTGTGTAGCTTTGGAGCCTGTCCTGGCGCTTGTTCTGTAGACCAGGGTGGCCTCGAACTCACAGAGATCCGCCTTGCTCTGCCTCCTAAGTGCTGGGATTAAAGTCATGCGTTACCACCGACTTATACTACTCTTATTGACATATCTTCCCTCTACCATTTGTTAGACGTTGTGATCCATCTCAGTTTCTTTTTTTATATGTTAGTGATGGAACACATCTTTCTATCCAACATACTGCACATTCCTCCTTATTCTTTAGGACAGACTCAGAAGTAGAGTTACTGGGTTAAGCATAGAATTCTTTTCAAGGCTTTTAATCTGTGCTGCTAGTTGTTCTAAAGGAAGCTTACACCCATTTGCAAGCTATTTGGATGAATACTCCTATACTCTTTTCTTGAAAATATTTATCAACTTTGTTAGTAAAGGACAGTGATTTGGCTTTTATTTTGCAACCATAAGAGTATTGTAATTTTGGAAAATACTTGTTTGTGTTCTTTGCCATTATCTTGAGTCTTCAGTCATACTAATTTATATAATTTATTTCTTCTCTTGTAGATCCTTTTATCTTACCACATCAGCAGGTTGATAAAGGAGCCATCAAATTTGTCCTCAGTGGAGCAAATATCATGTGTCCCGGCTTAACTTCCCCTGGAGCTAAGCTTTACCCTGCTGCCGTAGATACTATTGTTGTATCCTTCCCAGGACTTAACCACTGAAAATTGTTCATTGTTTTCTTGCCATTACTGAAATACCTAGCATCCAGAAGAATATTATGTGTTTTTAATTTTTATTAGTATATTTTCAGAAATTGGAGTTTCACTCTGTAGCCAATTGAGCTTGTAATTCTGCTGCCTCAGTTTCCCCATCTGTGCTTGGATTACAGGCATGTGCTACCACACCCTGTTGAAGAAGACTTGTAATTTTGACTAAGAGAAATGGGAGATAAACTCAAATCAACCAACCTTGAATTTTTTCTCTTCTCTCTTCTCTTCTCTTCTCTTCTCCCCTTCCCTCCTCCTCTTCTCTTCTCCCCTCCCCTCCTCCTCTTCTCTTCTC